TGAATTGACAATGTTAGACTGTTTCGCCTAGCACCAAGATGATGAATTGATCATAGTTTTCAAATAAAACAAAATGACTGGGTTCTCATAGCTCAGTAAACTATAGAACAAGGTTCAGAAGCCACTCTGACTGGCTTCAGAAGAACACTAATCCACAAACAGGCTCATATTTTGGACTTAGCATGTAGTGTTTAGACCAGCTATAGTTCCACCGTGGTTACATGGTGAAATTCACAGAACGTGAGATTAAACTATGAATAAGCAGAGCTTTTTTTCTCATAGAATGCTCAGAACGGAGTTCCGGCACCTTTTTTGGATAGAACCTTGTAGGGTAGGCAAGGCCGGTTGTATGACATGTGTGAGTTCCAGCACCATTTTTTTTATATAAAAAAAGCACTGTGAATAACAGATAAAATTTTAAAAGACAGAGGTTCTACAGCCCTGCATGTGTTTACTTGGATGCATGCAACTGCTTTGAGTGAGGTATGTTGAATAAGCAGAGGCGAAGCCATCCAGCAGGTGAGATCAGATCAGCCTTTTATTGATAATTAGGCTTCTTTCTGAATCCTAGGCAAATGCATCCATTAAAAAAAAAAGTTGCAATTCTGAAATCTGAACTCCACGAGTGGATATTATTCTTTCTTCTGATGGGCTTGTAATCACATCACTTGCCCATGGAGCACTGATTTGTGATCTATCCTGAAAAATACACAAATTTACTCTGAAGTAAGCTTTCTTGGGTTCAATGTACCTATGGTAAGTGATAGAAGGGGCGCAAAAGTGTCATTCTTTCCATTAAATATGTTTTGGCAGGAAAGGCAAAATGTTTTCTGCACACCTTCCCATTGTTTCTAATCATCACTTAAAGCTGGAGGCATGAGCATACTTTTTTATTTTTCAGAGTCTTGACATCTGGAGATACAACATTTACATTTGTGTTGAATATGCTTGCTTAGTACAATATTTGCATTTATGTTGAATATGCTTGCTTAGTGAAATCACAATAACATATTGTGCTTTTAAGATTCCCTCAAAGATGTCCATTAGAAATCACATGTCTATATATGCACATACTTTCTAAAGCATCATTCCGAAGAAACCAACTTTTATATGCCATTTTCTAACATTCCTGTTACATGGTTTAGAATGCCTACGTCTCACTGAAACCAGTGGCCTTATTTCTTCAAAGGCCAGATCAACTCAAATCTTTATTGCTGTCAAAGACCAGCATAAGGAGGGTGGGGTACAACTTAAAAGGCTGCCAGAAACACTAATAAATTTCAGAGGCTTTCCTGGAGGGTTCAAAAAAAAAAATCAAAGTAATCTAGCTACACCCAGAACTTTATATAATGTCCCTTCTTCTTTCCAGCTTCATATTTTTTAAATCATGTGTTAACTTCAGACATCTTTCTCACACACATGAAAAGAAAACTTGGATAAATAGTTGGGTTAACACATGAATTGACATTGGAGGTAGAAACATATATGTCTATATTCCTATACATTATTTCGTTAAAGGAAGAACTCTAAAGATCTTGGGAGAGTAAAATAACGATCCCCCCAAAAAGTGACCAACTTCCATATTGCTGTGAGGAGAGTGACAAAGATGTGCCCATGAAATTACCAAGAATCAAGTTCAGCCTGGTGCCTTTAAGTCTACAGACCCCTTTTCTGAGGTCCATATTTCACAGACTGTATTTGCGGGAGGGAAATTCATGGAAATGGCATCTCTCTGCATCTATGAACTGTTCTAACCACTTGAGCAAATGGTTAGACTGGAAGGAAAAGAATCCTCAGAGACACTCATCTTCTCCATGACTGATTCTCACCTATTGCTAGTCAAATGGGTCCCATGTTTAGGAGAGAAAAGGAGCCTCCTCTTTCTATCAAGATGTAATTTAGATAGAATAAAGGACATTTCTGTCTTCATGTATTAATAAATCTAGCTTTTGCTTCAAATACAATGCATTGAAAGTTTGCCTGCATTCATTGTTAGCTGAGCTAAGCCAATTTTCTGCATCCCATCCATTTTATTATGAACTTTTTTTTTAACAGAACATTTTGTCATTTATTCAGAATTTTTCAGCACACCGCTTATGTTCAAGAGCATACAGTATTGTCTAATGAGGGTGCCTATTGAGTATTAATCAAGAGTACTGAAAGTCGAAATTAATACAGGTGTTTATGCCTCAAAAAGTATATTTTGTTAAAGAAGTGACTTGCTGTTATAGAAAGTCACCATTTGGGGAGGGGGGACGAAGGAGAAAAAGAGGAAATGAGCTATGATCTATTTTTCCTGTAGGAAGCAGGCTGAAAGGGGAAGCCTAAAGAGAGAGCATTAGATATTTTGGGGACAGGGGTGGGGTGATGTAGGACATACACAAAAAAGAAGGAATAAGGCAGAAGACCATCACTTGTTATCTCTACTCCTGATTTCCCTAGCAATCAGTAGAATAATAATGGTAAAAGTGAATATTTCTAGAGATGTTTCTAACAGGTGCAATGTAGGTCAGCTTATTTATTTGTTTACATAATCATATCCCAACTTTTCTTACCTTATTCAGAGGCAAGCAGATAGGCTAGGCAAGCATTAACAGATGGTAAAGCATCTTAAAGCCAAGATGATGATGATAATGTTATCCATTCAGTCATGTCTGACTATTGGGCAATTCTACGGGCCAGGTCTCTCCACATTTTCTGATCTTGCACTATTTCTTTATCTAGGGCTGGTATCAGCTTTGATGGTGTCCAACCACCATGTTTTTTGATGGCCTGCTTTCCTTTTACCACCAACTCTTCCAAACATAATTGCTTCCTCCTTAAAGCCAAGAAAATCAGGCAAATAATATATCATTCAGTTCAAATTTTGCTAAGTTAGGAGATTTCAGAGTGAAATCAAGACCCCAGGTTGAGTTTCCAAGCTCAGCATTCTGTATGAAGGATCCTACAGTAATTTGATATTCCTTACTATACCGCTCCATCTAGTTCAATACAAATCTGCTTATCCAAAATCAAATAATATATTCATCTACCTCTCATCTGTTTGCTTCAGTCTTCTCTCTCCTGGTGCCCAATAAATCTGGAAACCACCTGGAGAACCCTGGTCTGTTCTTCACTTCAAGTACTCTCCAGGACTTGAGGGAGACAGAGGAGGTTTTCCCACATCTTGGACATGGTCTTTTATTGGAAATGCCACAGAATGAATGAGGAGCCACCTGGGTGCAAAGCACCATTGAGGCAGTGATTTTTCCTAAGCCTTGTGATCAATTGATCAATCTTGAACTAAAAATAACCACTCTGAAATGAGAATTCTATATATTTGTAAATATGTATTCAAACCTAAATAACAAAACATCTTAGCATGAATGAGGCTAGATAGTTGTCAGATTTCATTTGGCCATGTGCTCTTCTAGCTTTAAAAAGAAAAGTCATAAGGCTCTTTTAGATTAGGTATAGAGAAGCTGGTCACATTTGTTTTTGCTGATTCTCATTGTACCAACTCAGTCTGGTTTGGCTTCATTCACTCATTGTACCAACTCAGTTTGGTTTGGCTCCATTTATCTGCATGCTGGATTGTTGTTGTTTTGGGGTTTTTTTTGTGGATGTGCATGTTTCCCTTAACATATGCTTACGCACACTTCTGCTGTGTACATACTGTTTGTTAGCACATTTTTCTTAACCCAAAATTGTTCCCTATTTACTTTTTTAGCACATGTTCCCTTTGTGTGTGCATTTTGGGTCCATCTGTCTGAACTTGGGACCACATCACAACTTCTTGACATTTTCCATGTTTGTATGCCTTCCAATTCACCAACAGATCAAGAGAGGGGAGGAATAATAAATTGTTGACAAAAGCCAGCTTGAATTTTTAGCCATGCCATCTTTAGGACAACTTACTATTGTAGTCTCAAGAGTATGCAACACTTGCTTGAACGTGTAAACATTAAATACTGTATCTGAGAAAGGAAGACATGAATGCTGAATGATGGAAGTAGCACACTGAAATCTCTTACAGTGCCAGGTAGTCTCAGCAAAGCATAGATCAGGGGTGTCAAACTCAATTTCATTGAGGGCCGCATCAGCATTGCAGTTGCCCTCAGGAGGCCGGGTGGGTGTGGCCAGGGTGGGTGCAGCCTACTGGGTGGGTGTGGATGGAGTGGGTGTGGCCTACTGGGTGGGCATGGCTAGCTCTACATCGTTCGCGTCAAGGGTGCCTGTGGGGGCCTGGGCAGGAGTGGGACAGATCTGAGCGTCTCTGGAAGAAGGGGTTGGGACTGGGGCAAGCGCCAAGGCATGGTTCATTTCTTCATTCCTCACAAAGGGTGACACCTCCCCAGCATGCACCCAGGGGGCAGGGCCGATGCAGCAGGGGCTGGTTCCTCACTGTTTCTAGATGACCTTGTGGAGCTAAGACTGAATGCATTTCAGCATAGATGGCCACCACAAAATTGCACATTGGCTCCCAGCCGGCCTGAGCCAGGGCCAAGGCAGCGGGGGCCGTTCCCTCACTGTTTCCAGGATGGCTTCATGGGCCACATGAAACCACTTTGCGGGTTGCATCTGGCCCCCGGGCCTTGTTTTGGACATGTCTGGCATAGATGCTTTTGAAACTGTGAGCTGTTAAGGACAGCATTTAGTATGCCAAATTGAAATGGCTGAGTAGAAAAATAGCTCTTTAATCTAAAAGGCTTTGCTAGCACCCAGGAATATTGGTTTCAAAGCTTCACCTTCAGAGATCTCCACTCCAAATCTCATTCTTTTTTTCAGTGGCCTCCCTTTTTTTTTTCCCCCTTTCCTAGACTCTTTTCATCAGATTGTGTTTTCCTGCTGTTTATTTGTTTATATCTTTGCTGCTAGAGGCATGCAGTGGGAGGGGGAGGGATTAGGACTGAAGTATTTTGGCATATTAAACTTGCCATTTGTTATTAATATAATTTGCAGAAGTTACTAGAAGTCCAAAGCCATTCACAAGAGGTTTTTTTTTTTTTTAATTCCACTAGAAACCACAAGATAATAAGAAGAGGCTCCAAAAGAGGTGTGGATTGCCCACAAGAGGTCTGAACGACAACATGTATTTTTACTGGAAGTCTGCTTACTAGCCAAAACCTTTGGAAAGTCATGACACTAATTTGGCAAGGCACTATCTCCGTCTGCTTCACTGAAAACATCTTAGACAGCCTAATAAATAAAATGCACTTCGTTTTTGGGGGTTTTCAACTTGTCTTTCTCTTGGCCTGCAGTCTGTCAGCAGGCAGAGATTAGAGAATTGACTGGATCTTAGCAAATTTGGTTCGAGAGAAATCAGAGAGGTAGCAGAGGATAGGAGTGTATCTCCTTTCCAGCCACCCCGGTGTTGAAATATTGCCAGCAAATGCATTAAATACAAACCAAACAAAACCTCATCACCCCACCATATACAAAGTTTTTGAGTTTGTGCTCTGCGAAGTCTGCTGTAAAATATCAAAAATTATTTCAAAGGAAGGACCAAGCTTAGAACTTTTTTTTTTAAAAAAAAAAAGATACTCCAAACCAGTGGTGGATTCAAATATGTGAACAACCGGTTCTCTGTGTGGATGCTGCTTCTGGAAGTCCATTCTGGGCCTGGGCAATAAAAAAATAGCTACCAGTTCTGTCGAAGTAGTGCAAGCTGGCTGAATTCCACCACTGCCCCAAACTAATGCAGGAAGTATATTTCTCACAAAACAGGCTTTTTTTATAGCTAGATTTGCAATGGCGGAGTGCCAAAATTATCTTGGCACCACTGAGACATAGGATGGTACAGGAGGATTTCTTGGTGTCTCAAGTGCTTACCCAGATCAGAAACTTTCCCTGAATTTATTCTTCTTCTGATACCAGTTTTTCACTTGGTGGAATTGTTTTTAATTCCTGCCAGTGCAGAGATTCATGAGCTCTGACATTGGTAAAATAGTCTCTTGTTTGCTTTCTGTTGCAGGCAGTATTATTCTCCTTTTTTTTCACTTTGCCTCATCCGGCATTCTGTTGTCATTTAATCATGAAACTGATGGAACAAGTTGCATGAAGGTCTACGAGAAACTACCATCTTATGGTCTATAAGAGATGATTATAAAAGGAGGCACAAGGGTATAAAGCGATGTGTGAGGAATCAGAAAAACAAATGTGATGAGTATCTATGAAGATTCTCAGTCATCCAGGTCATGGTTGTCCAAAAGGTGCTTTTTCAGGAAGCAACTGGACTTTCTTATTTTTCTTTGAAGATGTTTCACTTCTCATCCAAGAAGTTTCTTCAGCTCTGACTGGATGGTGGGGAATGGAAGAATTGGGACAAATGTGATGAGGTGAGCTGATTAGAGTAAGAATCCATGTATATATGGCTCTGGAATATGATTCCAGAGAATGGCTCTGTAGGATACAAAACCTCAATTTTATAGATCTTTACCTGCCGGCCACCTTGCATCTTGGTATATTAGACTTCATGATAACTACCTCCTGTGTAGGTCTCCAGCCTCTGTGTTGTAGCTTCGATGTATGTTGTTATTTAGCATGGAGAAGGGGGAAGTGGAGGAAGAAAGGTCTCTTGTCTACTTTCCTGTCAGTGATTGAGAGGCTAGCCAATGGAAGAGGAAACTATTTTGGCAGATGAGATTTAGAGGAATGGCTTTGGGAAATGGAAATTCTTCTCCAGCCTGGAGGCTGGTCCTAAAAGGAGAACTTTTCAGAGGTGTTAAAAATTAGCCCTTCCTTTCAACCAAGCATATACATCCTTCCCCCTCCTCCTTCCCAAATTCATATTGAAGATGGCATTGTAAAATCTTTGTCAGAAAATTGACACTTTCCATGAGAAGGCTAATTTCTTCTACAGTTACTAAATAAGGATATTATAAACCCCTCTCCATCAGAAAAGTATCTGTTAGGGGGAAAAAAATCTCAGTAACCTGAAACATTTACAAAATCTGTTTCTCACTGCAAAAGGTTTAGAACTACTCTTAACACTGCTTTGCTATCTGATCAAATTGGGATTGTCAGGAGATAGAAAACAGCTGGAGACAAAATTGTAAGAATGAAAACACAGAAAACTACTATTCCTAGCTGTGTGATTATTTGGCTCAGTTTGAAGCACATTTATTGGTGTATTAGCTTAGCTCCTAGAAGAAACAAGAGTGCATGTGTAAAAATACTTTTGACATTGCAAAAACCATGGGTGGATCGTACAGTTGTGAAAATAGGATACTTGGTGATAATATTCTTACATGCTCTACACTTCTGAATGGCAAGCCATTCTTGGAAAAAAAACATTTCCGAGTGTAGTCATTTGCTATGGATTTAAGTACACTACAGAGTGATGAATTAAATCTTTTTAAATGGAGTGTTATGCAAACAACCAAAAGCAGAAGCAGGTGCAGAACTGACCAGGGATTTGCAAGCAGAATATTGGAGATGTCCACCTGTAAAAACTCAACATTTTTTTTTTAAAAAAAATCACATTTGTTCCTCTCCCCACTCCTGCTTTTTGATTAATGGAACAGGAAGTTCTGTTTTAGGAAGTTAGAGGAAGGGGAAGATTCCATCACTGTAGCTAGCTATACTTTGCAGATAAGGGTTATGCCAACTTAAACTTTCTTCTGATTCTCTGAAAATACTCAGACTCATTCAGATACTTCCAAGCTGAAGCAAGTCTCCCTTCTAACCTCAAACTCACAAGCACTGTTGATGTCAACAGTTGTTTAGAACATACCTGGAGTGATTTTTTTCACCATGGTCTATGGACTGGAACCTTCAGTAAACCAAGATAAGAAGCTGGCTCAGCATTGGACTTACCAGAAGCAAGAATCTGATGTTTATATAAACATCTGGCCACACCTGAAGAAGAGAAGAAAGCAGGAAAATAAAACTTTTTTTTTCTAATTGAGAAGCAAGTTAGAAAAATAATGCAAAGTAAAGCAGCATCTCAATATTTTCAGCTCCGCTGGCAGCTTGGGAGCTCTTCTGCCTTCCAAAGGCCAGTGAGACAGCAGAGTAACAAAAATATAAACAGAAATAAGTAGGAGTAAAAATGATGTCCCAGTGCTGAGGCATTAGCAAGTTTTTATTATTATTTAATTATTTATTTATTTTTATTATTTTATGTGCAATGATATCCTTGGGCTCCAACAGTTTTCGGGGGATGGTAGGAGACGTCCTGAAATGGTGGTTGTTTTGAAGGGGTGACTATTAAATAATTTTGTAATAAGAAAATCTTCAGTGACAATAATTTTATGAAGACACCCATTCCTTGTACACAAAGTTTCAGGTGTACCTCCCTGCGTTTGTTATTAAAATATACTTGGGTTCTGCATTAGTTTTTCACAAAATTTAATACTGCCTCTACTATGAACCTCTTATTCAGGAAATGTCCATAATCATCGAGAACATTTTTGTCCAAGTCTGATCAATCACTCACAGACAGAAATCGAGCCAAGCTCAGAACCATATTACATCTTCTGGGTAGCTCCTTAAGTACAAACATAGCTTCCGGAAACAACAGACTGCTTGGCTGTGCCCACACCTGCTCATGTGACTTGATGATCCTCCAGCTGGTTCTGTCTGCACTAAATTAGAGGTCATAATAGCTTTGGTTTCACATCACTGCAAGACTAAGCCAAGATTTCATGCAGTTGGACAGAACCCAAAAGCCTGGCAGTGCTTTTCTGCAGCTATCGTGCAGCAAGGAAAATCTTTTATTTGTTTTGCACGGATCAACACATGATGTTCAAGTGAACTGCTACCAGATGCAACTTCCCTGCAAAGCATGTGGAAATGCCAAATCAGACTTTCAAAAGTGGCATCAGGTTCTCTCTAGTGTACTTATCATGTTTGACTAAAGGTTATTGATAGATGCATAGATGGATATATAGAGATAGAGATAGAGTGATAGTGATAGTGATGATAGAGATAGAGAAAGAGATTAGATAATTGAGATAGATGATAGATGATAGATAGACAGACAGATAGATATGCTAAGCCACAACCCTAGATATTAACAAATGATTAATAAGGCTAAAGATGCTTGCAGAGCTACTGAAAAGGGCCACAGAAATAGTTAAGCTAACAGATGTTTCAGATGATTGCATGACACCACACTACTTCCTTCCCTATTTAAGTGGGAATGGACTTTTTTTTCTGGATCACATTCAAATAGGTAATGAAATCAGGGCTGCTTTAGCTTTTAGTTTGTAATGCACAGGAGGAGGTTTCAAGAGACATGGCTAATGCAGAGGATGTTTTATTGGAAAACTCTCTGATTATGAAAAACCATCAAACCATCTCATGTCTTCAGCCCATCAAGCTACAGTACTTATGATATTGTGGACTTAAAGTTTATATGCTTTCTCTGGGTAGAAAATTAATCTTGCATGGTTTAATTCCACATTTTATTGTCATTGCGATAGATTCTAAAAGAGATTATTTTCTCTTATATTCTTATATATATATATATATATATATATATATATATATATATATATATATATATAGAGAGAGAGAGAGAGAGAGAGAGAGAGAGAGAGAGAGAGAGAGAGAGAGAGAGAGAGAGAGAGAGAGAGATCCAAATCATCTGTGTGTAGGAGAACAAGGGTGAGGAAACAAGACTAGACAAGAAAAGCAGATTAAGGGGTTTTTTTTTCTGCTTAAACTGAAAAACAAAATGGCAGCTTATCCTGCCTCTGTTCCTTCACTGAAGCCAAATGGATCATCACTGGATTTATTTCAGCAGTGACAAGATGGCTGAAGTAACGGATGGAAACTAATCAAGGAGAAAAGCAACCAAAAACTAAGGAGAAACTTCCTGACAGTTAGAACAATTAACCAGTGGAACAACCTGCCTCCAGAAGCAGTGAATGCTCCAACACTGGAAGTTTTTAAGAAGAGACTGGACAGCCATTTGTCTGAAATGATATAGGGTTTCTTACCTGAACAGGGGGTTGGACTAGATGACCTCCAAGGTCCCTTCCAACTTTTATTAATTATTGTTATTATTATTATGTCTCTATTTATTATTCCAATATTAGTATGTTATCTCATCTGTGTGACTCAGGGTAGCTTACAAACAGTTAACCATTAGGCATGAAAGCACAAGACTACCACAAGACAGCCCTCATGGCTCACACACCGCCATCTTTCAAACCCTTCCCACCTTTTCCTGCCCCCTCCCATGCAATGTCTGAGATAACCACCTGATCTGCTGAATTGGTTGGCAGACCTAAGTGAGAGAAAAAGACAGCAAAAATGAATCATAACATCGTTAGTCAATCTACATTTTCTGGGTGCTTTCCTGATCCAAGTGTATCAGGAAACCATGGGTTGTTTTTGTTTTGTTTTTTCTTTTTAAAAGTGAATCATCTGTGGGTAGAAAAAAATTATGGGTTTAAATTATAAGGGTGGTGGGAAAGTCTGTGAATTCGAAATAACTTTACATACTTAATTTGCAGTTTGGGACATATTGAAAAACCTTGAAACCCACTGAGTGCACTCATCCCAGCAAC